TCCATTCTTACGAGTTGGAAACGTTGGCCATTGTGAATGCTCTGAAACACTTTCGTGTGTATTTAAATGGCATTAAATTTACCATCATCACTGACAGCAATTCGGTAAAGGCCACCGTTAATAAAAGGAATCTAGTTCCGCGAATTGCGCGTTGGATCTATTTACAGGATTTTGAGTATGACATTGTTTATCCAAAAAAGGGTCACAGCTGGCACATGTCGACTACCTGAGCTGAAATCCTGTAAGTGTGCGGAGGGTGACGTAGGTTGATTCATGGTTACATATCGAGCAAAAGAGTAGTGCCGAAATAACACATGTTGAACGATTTACACGCAGGGAAACTTGATGAAAAACAGTACGCCGAAGAGAATGGTTTGCTTTGCTATCGATATAACACTAAGGGTAAACAGCAGGCGCCGCGCTACTTTGTGTCTTGACGTAGTCGTTTAGTTAGCTGACGTGGTCATTTTGACGATCCGCTTAGCTCTCTAGCGAGTTCTTCGGTAGGAATCTTCAAACTTCTAGTGCTTTCCCATCTGTCCCCGTATTCTTCTCTTCTTCTTGCGTCTTTCAGGGCTTACCAACATGGTTGGATTCCTGTGAATTTCTTTATTGTCTGTTCTTAAATTCAAAATTTTATTATTATACCTGCGCTGTTCATATGTGACTTTTCTCTTTGTAACAGATATGTATTGTTGGTTGCATATCCTTCATGTGTTGAGATGTTTGTAAGAACAAGGCAGTCAAATAGAGACCTTCACATGAGGCAGTTCTTTCCTTCCCGGTTCCCAAAATACAACGCATGACACTCTTTTATAGGGAATTTTAATGTGTCTCTTCTTGGATTTTTTTTTTATTTATAGAATCTAGTATTGACATCGACCTATATTAGTCATACTTTTTTTTCAATTATTATTATTGTTATTTCGACCCCCTCCTTTTTTTGTAGGCTTTATTAACACAACTTAGTAGTCTACATAATATACACCATTTTATCGTTACTGGCCTTCTTTACGAAAACAATTGGATGAGTTCAAGGACAAATACACGCAAAAAAGATCTGTGGCACCCTGTAGCGAAGGCATTAAACACGCAGGGTTATTTTGTAGGAGTAGGCGGTAAAGGTCGCGAAAAAGTTGCCTACGCTTACACAATTGCTAACTATGAGCTGATCTTTCAGCTTCTTAGACAAATATGGGTATGACCTGAAGATCGGGATTTGCTTCGTATCGCGTACAGATTTGATCAGATTGAACCAATACAAACATTTCGACTAAAAACGGTAACATATGGTTTAAACTGCGCACCGTTTCTTGCAATGCGTTGTTTGTTAGAATTAGCATACGAAGCAAGTGCGGATCATCCACAAGCTGTAAAAATGATTTTGAATTCGTTCTACATGGATAATATGTTAGTTGGACTGGATAAAGTAACCGAAAGGTATCAAGTTACGTGACGACCTAACCAATATTTTGAACTTTACAAGTGGGCCTCGAATGAAACTAAGCTATTACCAAACCAGGATAGTGAAAATAATACCGCAGTTGTTAGATTTGATGGTAAGTTTGAAACCAAAGCTCTAGGTCTAACTTGGAATTGTCAAAGGGATTTATTTAAATACTGCTGCGATTAAACTGCCAAGGTGGCCACGAAACGCAACATTTTATCAATTATTGCCAAAAGTTTTGATCCTTTAGGCCTCTTAAGCCCAATGTTAATGGTAGCAAAGATCGTGTTACAAAAATTGTGGCAACTTAAATTAAACTGGGATCAACCCATACCATCTGAACTAAGCGAAATCTTTCACCATTTTTGTGCAAATTCGCACCGAATCAACGAATTTGTAATTCCGCGATGCGTTAATTCCTTTTCTTCACAAACTCTAGAGTTACATGGATTTTGTGACACTTGTAAAGAAGCTTATGGGGCTGCGATTTATGTAGATGCCGTTAGTGAAAATAAGCAACGACAAATAGATTTACTTTGTTCAAAATCTGGTGTTGCTCCACTTAAACCGGCCACAATTCCGCGGCTGGAACTATGCGCGGCGGTTCTTTTCGCGAAACTTACAGTTAATGTTATCAACACGTTGGATGTATGCGTTGGGAAAAATTATTATTTGTGGTCAGACTATACGATAACCCTATCTTGAATAACAGCTGAGCCAAAAAGATGGCAGCCCTTTGTCGCACACCGGGTGGCGGCAATTCAGGAAATGACAAAAAGGGAACAATGGCACTATGTAAATAGCCAGTAAAATCCTACGGATATAATTACAAAGGGTATGTGTCCTAGTGATCGGGATAAATTTATTATAGTATTTCCACCGATAGATTAGCTGACAGAAAAGTCACCAAATAGACCGCTATAAAAAGTAGTGCCAAAGGCGCTTTATTTGAAATATAAGGAGATTTGAAAATAATGTTGAACTACGTAAAATTACTTTTCATAATAACACAATTTATTTCCAACAGACAATATTATCTATACTGGAACATACATTTCGAATAACATTACGTACTTTATATTGAAGTAACAACCTCTGTAGGGCATCTTAAATTAAAATTTTCCTTCTTGAAAAATGAATACGCATTGGCAATCATTTTCTGTGCCACGATGTTGTCAACAACAGTCATACTGCACCGGGTTGAAGAGGGCTACAAAATATAATGGTATATAATAATTGCACAGAATAAATCAACAAGTCACTTGCGTAATTATGAATTTTATTCGTAATGTCTTCCATGGGGTCCATATGAAACGTTTTTTGACACAAACAACTTAACCTAAAATGTCCAAACTTCAGCCAGTATACCAAAAACAGCACAAAGGTCTATAATATCATACTTAACAAATCAAAACAAGTAAAAAAACACAAACACTAAACGCAAAAAACACACTTTTTAACTTTTTGAACCAAAATTTTAAATTAGCTGATCGACCAAAACACAGGTTAAACGAAACCGGCCGACTGGCGCAGGCATAGAGGCGTAGGAAATTCGTTGCGCGGGAAAACGAACGTTGGTTGCCAACTTAAACTACAACTCTTTAACTGCTTTAAGCGTATAATGTTAGTATATTTTGGATTCTCCGATTGGCGATTGTGAATTCAAAATTTTCCAATCTATCGCTGGAAATAGTATACTTGGTTTCATGGTCCAGCCTGTTTATTAAAAAATTAGTCACATTGGCCTAAGCCTCCTAATCATGTAACAGATCTTCCGCCGGAAAGACGCAATGTAACATTAATATCTCAAACACAACCAGATTTAAACGTTTTCCATCGAGTTAGCAGTTACAAAAAATTAAAATGAGTACTGGCTTACTGCTATCGATTTATACACAATTGCATCATAAAAAAGAAAAAATAACGGGCGAATTAAAGCTAAATGAACTTGAAACTGTCGAAAAATAAATCATTAAATTTATACAGAAGCAAGAATTCGGTCAAAAAATTAGTAACCTCAAAAATAAACATGCATTAATTAAACGCAGTAAGTTGATCCCTCTTAATGTCTTCTTAGACGAAAATGACACGCTTTGGGAGGCCGTCTAAAAACGCGAATTTAGATTTTAAGACCAAACATCAAGTGGTACTACCAAAACGCCACACAATTACAAAGCTAATAATACGCGACTGGGTTTTCGAAAAAATGTTATATAGCAAAGTTTCATATACATATATGTATGTTGAAAATATAATTATTTAAATTACAAAAGGTCAAACCTCCCGATCTCATTATAAAAAATAATCATCACTAGTATCAAATACCTTACCTTTTCATAGCGCCTTACCTTATTATAACTCGCTGTACACGCCGCAGAATAATTCGGTGGGACGCCTAAATCGCACAATGAAAACATTGATCATGTCTTATATTCAAAACGACCATCGGACGTGGGACGTCGAATTGCCCCGGGTTGCTTGTGCGCTTCGGACAGCAAAAAGTGAAACGATGAGAAACACACCACATTTTGTCAATTTTGGACAAGAAATGGTCCAGGACAATAGGCAGTACGAGTTGTTGCGAAATCGGGCAAAATTTTTCGGATAGAGAGGAATCGGACGGGGACGATAATGCGGACAGACGGAGGAATCGGTTAGCCGAGATCCGCTAGCAGGTATAAGGAATTCACGTTCGGTAGATGTAACTAGATTTGGTAACTTTTTTTTTTAAGCTGTGTAACTGCGGACATAATTGTTCTAGTGTATAATGTATAATTAGAATGTCAGAAAGTAGGTATCAAAAATGTGACATGTAAGTAAGTAAATATCAAATATCGAAAATGTGATGGTTTTGTGGTGATCTGCTGAATCTATTTTTGAATCCAGTTGAAAATTGTATCCCTCTAAAAGCCCAAAGAGCAACCCGCATGTAAAATTGTGAATCTTTTCCCTTCACTAGTTATTTTAGGAGGACAAGCTTCGATGTCATCATCATGGATCCACAATTTTACCATGGATTCGTTTTGGTATATCCATGTCTCATCCAAGAAAATGAAAAGTAAATCTTCACCACTATCACGCAATTAGAGATACCGCTTTAGAAATTTGATTCTGGTAGCTATTTAATGTGAAAAACTTCGCCTTCGGAAATCTAAATTTATACGTGTATTACGTACAATTATTCTCCAAGCCGAGTATTTTCCCGTTTACAAAACAATAACGATTATATAAAATTAAAAACCAATTGTAGGGCGGACCCAACAAAGCATGTAGGTATATAAATCTGGGCAGTCGTCTTTCTGATTCTGAGTATAATATTAACGGCACCGACGCCGTTGTATCGGTATTATTTTAAAATTCGAAAAACACTCGAGAACACCAGCGAACTTTACGGAAAATATTTCTGCCACCAGTTTAACTGTTTGCGTTTTACCCAAAGATTGTCTATTTTTCTCTGTAATTTTTTGAAAACCACGAAATATTTCTTGTTTCTTTTCCTTTAAAATGGGCTTTCTCGTGACCACTTTTGTGGAAATTCTTTCCACGCTGTATTTAAGGATTTTCTTCAAACGAAGCGTGTTGAAATTAGAAAAACTTCGTTTTTTTTCCAGACAATTCAGATTTGACATTTGAATTACAAAATTAGACAGTTGATACCAATCTTTAATTTCTAGTGATCTTAAGATTGCAACTTAACCACAGAAAACTTTCTGTTAGCTACTTCTACCGAACGTGAATGCTTATTAGTACAAAGGTTACAGAGTGCGCGGGAACGGACAACACGCTTTTATGACAAACGTCGACGTGAAGTGGTTTTCGCGGAGAATGAAGTATGTAATTTGGAAGCGTGAATATCCAACCACTGACTCGACTAAAGGCTTCGCCGCTAAGCTAGTGCGACGATTCAAAAGACCATTTCAAACAGCGTGAAAAATTGGAGCAAACGTTTATGATTTACGCAATCCTCGGGGCAATCTGGCGGGACGCTGGCACAGACCTTAAGACATACTATCCGTCTGATCCGGAAACAGACGACGAATCCGACTCAGCGACAGCACCATAAATGATATTCCTGGGAGGGCCCGTGGGGCTCGTGTCTTTCCCGCCGTTAGGCTTTAAGGCGTGCCCTCAGGGCAATACCACTATCAAGAAGCGTTTCACTACCTCCTTGAGTCCTATACCAAATGCGAGTCGATATCGGGGTTGATTTTTGGGAGGCAGTTTAGCCCGAGCGCGGGTCGAGTAGAGCTGGACGCATCTGATTTGTTCTTTTTTGTGAATTCCCGATCAAGAGGCTCTTCGAAGTCGGAAATCCCAGCATTTGAGCAGAGCGGACTTGTGACGGGAACACGGATACGTGAAAACCACTGTTGTTAGTGTGTGATGTTTTGTGATGGCTTACGAAGTGCGTATGAGGGCAGAAACGTCTTCTCGAGGGATTAGACAACTGTCATCATCTTCAAGTGGAGCACGTGTCGGTTCTACGGAAATTGCGCTGTGGCACAATCCCGGCTAGAAATATGTTTTTTTTTGTTTAGTAAATTCTGTTCTTGCGGAGGTACGATTTCGGGTGACGTGTCTGTTGGGCCAAGTGATTTTTTTTTTCGCGCGGCACTGCAAGCTGAATTTAGTAGGGGCGGTCAGTCGCGGAACCAGCAGTCTGGCGACATAGAAATCACCACGGCGGGTATCTGACCGAGGCGCGTTACCATCTTCGCGAGGAGGATACTCATTGGGTGTTTGGAGCTGTTCAGCTCCTGGAACCACCGCGTGAGAATGTTTGCTTCGTGTGGCAGTCTCATTCCCTCGTTGTTGACCACGGCAATTTTAATGCGAACGGCTAAGCAGTTCGGTAAATGAGGAAAATTTTAGAACGAACGGCTATACAGTTCGGTTGGTTAGGAAAATTTTAGCGAGGCCAGCTATACAGTTCAAAACTTGGGAAAATTCTAAATTTTGTTCAGTAGGTTGATAATCTTTTTTTTTAGTACAGTACTATTGATTGTAAATTTTCCCTCATATGGTTGGCTTCGAGGCGTCAACCATTTGCTTTCAAGGCCTCCGCTTAATTATGGTGGTGGGTGACACTTCTCGGCACATATAGCAATAAAAAAAACTCCTGTGTCGTTTTTTTTCTTTTTGGGAGAGTCGAGTGTGACATATATTTGTGTTCACCCGGTAGACTAAATTCGCGAACACCACCCTGTAGTTCTTGAGATATAAACGACCACTCACGCTATATGAGTGATTTTTAAATCAATTATCACCGCCCGATTGTAACGGTCGCCCTTTTATTGCCACGAGCGTTCAACCAAGTAGCTCGGTTTTGGTGATTTGTAAAAAGGGGCCAAAAACCAGCAGAAGGTTGTGTCTCGGGTCCGTAGTACCGATTAAAGTAGGCGTCGTATAGGTTAGGTAACGTCTGAGACAGATTTGTGCCGACTACGTAGTAAAAAAGAGTAACTGACGTCCAGGATCGGAGATGGAGAACTAAATACAATTTACAGGCGTGGAAACAGGGCTCCAGGAATATTCCCCAAACTCCAAGAAACCCCAGAGCTCCAAACAAAACCTCAAGGCTCCGGAAAATCCTCCAGGCCTCGGAGAACCCACACCAACCTTAAGGCCATTCGCACGAGAGAATAACAAAGAGCAAGACGGGAATCAGCTGTACTGGAAGCGAGCAGCCAGGACTCAGCACCATCTTCCCGGGACTCCGCCGCTAAAACATATCGGAACATAAGAAGTGCTCAGATAATTTCTTATTTTCCCCGCCACATTTGATATCTTATCTTCATAGTAAAGTTATATTCTTATCTTCATCACAAAATAGTCAACTTAGTCATCATAAGATTTCACAGTGTTCATACTTAAAGCATTGTAACTTATTCATAATCCGATACGAGAGAAAACCATGTATTATCCTGTATACGACTCTGTTAATAGATATGTTTTGTCACATTTATTATATTTTATTCGTAGTCGCCTCTCTATCACTTGGCGCAATTAATATTACCATTAGCCGCCCGTGAAGGTAAGTTTGGGCGAGGTCAAATCCGAAAGTGGTACAACTAGTAGACTAGTACATCCACAAAGGGGTTTGTTACAGTACCCTTCATCGAAGTCGCCGACACCCTGTTTTGTCAAAAAATATTGAGCTTGGGGGATATTACGGCGAAGAAAATCAAAATGGTATAGTGGTTTCAAAATGGAAACCAAAAAAACATTCTCCAGACATTAAGGAGATTGTAAAGAAAAGAAGAGAACAAGAAGTAGTTCAAAAGAAACCTATCGCCATATTAGACTATAATAAAGGAAAAACGGGTATAGACAAATTCGATTCAAATGCTGACCTATGCAACTTGTCTTCGTAAAGGGTAAAGCGGTACCGAAAAGTTGCTATGGAAATAATCTGGGAACAGCCGTTCTGAACAGTCACCTCATCTATAATCAGTTGACAACAAAAACCATTTCAATAACAAAGTTTCGTGAGATCGTTTGTGAAGAACTTCTGTATCCAAAAACGGATATCCAACACAATTCTTCAAGAAATAAGAAGGCTAAGATTCACGTCTTTCTAAGCAACGACGATAATAAAAGACGCAATTGCGGTTTCTCCTACAAGACACTACTAGTACAAGAAAATCGTAAAGAAGCAAGAAACAAAGTACGAAGAGTCAAATCTTATTGCTTTGGTTGTCTCAAAAAACCAACAATGTGCAAAAACTGCTACGCTTGTCAACATTCTTTAAAATATTACCCTTTTTGATTTGTTCATTTTATTTTCAATACGTTCAGCAATAAAAATAATTTTTCTAAAAAAACAAACAAGCATTAAAAGTATTAACAATTTTTGAAGTGGGAACGAGATTGTTGCCGAAGTCAAAGGTGAATAAAATCTTGAATGCAGAATTTTGGGTGAAAGCTCAAAAACTTAGCAATAATATTGCAAGGTGACATTCCAAAGATAAGCAAAGTACCTAAAGCGCTTGTGCAGATTGAAGATCACTGGGAAGCAGAACTTAATTCACAACTCTTACAATCTGAAAGAGTTGAGATTTAAAAAGTTTTAAAAACAGAAAAAAAGGGCTTTGACACCATTACATTATGTATTTAATATGTTCAACCCCACTTGAAAGGGCGCCGAATTGACACAAAAACAAAAAGTTGAAGGTTTAGAATTATTACAAGAACTAACAAAAAAAATTGATTTACATGAAACTCAAGTTTTTGAAGAGTATGCAAATTATAAGACGAATGAAGGTATGCCCTTTGTTCAAAATAGTGCACAGTTAGATGTATCACCTTTATTATGATGGTCTGGGATTGTTTCGTATTGTAAAACCAATGTGTTATTGCTATTTGATTTTGTTGCTTCGAAGGACCTGAATTAATTAAACAGCTTTAATCACAATCAAGGCTTTATTTTGAAGGAAGCAGCTGACCGACTTGGTCTTACACGTTTGGTGTTGGCGGTGCGACTGGCGGTTGCCTTAGTCGGTCTGTCGGTCTTATGAAAGAGCCCGACCGCCAAAGGAACCAGTCATCATTCGCCGGGGGATAAAGGGTTCGCCGCCAGCGAACACCTGCAACTCTGAACAGGTATTTGTGGAGATACTCTACTCAGTAAGATAGGCAAAGCAGTGCCTAATATGCCAGTGACTTCAGCATCTACCGAAAGGGTGTTTAGCTCATAATTAAATATTCATAATAAAAAAAGAAGTCGATTGACCACTGCAAGAGCAGTAAACTAACATATGTGTAAGGTACAATTTATTTATATAACATTAAAAAAACACAAAATTTTTTGAATTTTAGATACCAATATTGTCTTCACTGTCCTCTAAAGACGATCAGCAACCAACAAGAAATAGACGGGTCAGGTACATTCGCGATAGATCATATTCATTCGTAGAGTTTGACGCAATAGATTTCCAGACACGGTTTAAAGTTAGAAAAGAAACAGTTCTCGAAATATTGTACAGATTTGAACTCTTAATTGCACCAGCTTCAAATCGAAACAAAACCGTAAGTCCATTAAAAATATTGATCACGCTTAGATTTTATGCAAGTGGAGCATTTCAGAACTACTTAGGAGATCATCTATACAACTCGCAGCGTTCAATCTCTAGAATAATTGCAAGTTTATCACACTAACACAACTTTAAAAAATTCTTATTTTTTATATAATTAACCATTCAAATTATTGTACTGGTTCTTATTTTCTCTAAGTCAGAATCAGAAATTTCAGGTAGCTAAATAAAATAAAGAAGAGCCAAAAGGAAACACAAGCGGCATGAATTTGGTATTTCAATTCGTGTTGGTGTTTTATGAAAACGCCTGCATAAAATTGACTCCAATAAAATAAGTTTAAAGGCTGTCTTATTACATAACCGAAATAGGTTTTCTTCAGTTACTGTAGCACATTCTGTGCGTATGAAAGAAACCTACGAAAATCTGGGAATTATGTTAGATAAAATTAAGTATTTCGATCATCTGGAATGCTGCTGGGTCAGCAATCTGGCTTTACTAAAATGCCATATTTTCTTTACGAATGGGACAGTAGAACTCGTGCTTTTCATTAGACAAAAAGAGACTGGTCAAGAAGAATCTCTCTGAATCCAGGTTTCAAAAATATAATACCTCAACATTTACTTGATTCTGATAAAATTTTATTACCGCCACTTCACATTAAATTTGGTTTAATGAAACAATTTTCCAAAGCTTTGGACAAAGAAGAAAAGAAAGACCAGTATTTTCAATACTTGTGTAGTAAATTTCCAGATGTCTCTGACGACAAGGCATTTTTGTTGGGTCCGACGTTCGCAAGTTAATGGCAGATGCAGATTTTGAAATCCAAATGACACAAGTTGGAAAAGAAGCGTGGTTGTCATTCAAAGCTGCAATAGGAGGTTTCTTGGGCATAAATAAAAGTCCTAATTAGGAAAGTCTTGTAAGAGACATGTTACAAAAATTTAAAAACTTAGCTGTAATATGAGCCTCAAAATCCATTTTTTATTTTCACATCTAGATTATTTCCCTCAAAATCTGAGAGCAGTAAGTGAGGAGCAAGGTGAAAGGTTCCACCAAGACATAAAAAACATGGAGAACTGGTATCAAGGGCGGTGGAACGGGAATATGATGGCAGATTTGAAGAAGGATAATGAACTTCTTCCCTCACAAACCGTTCCAAAACGCTCGTTTGGTAAAAAACGTAAACGAACAATGAGAAAGAAGTCGTAACTCAAAATATCACCAAAATATAATTTATAAATATGTCAATTAAATGACTCAAAAATTAAAATGATGTTCATTCTAAATATTTTTAATTCTCCCTGTGGTTTAAAAATCTTGCGTGATAGAAATAAATTGATACTTTTGGAATTTGTAGGCCTTCACTAAACATGTTTACCCAAAATTCTTCAAACCCCAAACAAAAACCGACATTTTGCAGGCCAGTAAAATCAATCACCTAAACTCAATCTGTTCAAAATTAGCGACAATTGAATTAAGCCTAAATTAACTGGTCGAAAATATTAAAGTATTAAAAATACCGAGGAACCTTGTGGCCCATCAGTGCTACATGTGATCATTTAAACTACAACACGCGTTCGCTGCTCTTTTAGCTAATATGCGATTCGAGAGATCCCTCACCCAACTAGAAAGAGGTGCTGTCAGTACAACAAAAAAGTGATTTTATTTTATTTTGGTGTAATATTTTTTGTAAAAAAATTTGGAATAAAATTACTCAGTCTTGCCAAAATTTCTAATGTTTTTCAGTAACTGTCAAACCAAGATTAAGGTTTCGACCCTAGGGGTGAATTGAGTAGCCCAATGGTGTCACAGCCGGTCCCAAGCCCGGACAAATGGTGGTCGACCGAGTGGGGATAGAAGACCTCTAGACGAAATCTGCTATGAAAATGGACAAGACTGAGATATACTTAGTTAGCTAGGTGGGCCGCTCTTGGTGAAATGCCCCCTCACCCCGTTAAAGTGGCAGCTCAATGACGGGGGACTAACGCATGGACATGGCACGAATCCGGACACGACTCAGCTCTACGATACGAAGGAGGGCGGTGGAGCGTGGCTGCCCGGACACATACCGTAATCGCGGCCCGCATTCAACACCGCCGTTGAACGCGACGGCCGGCGGTACGTCTGTGGGAACCTGCAACCGGGGGGCTTACCTTAACCGGAAGGCCCACAAGGAGAATACCTTGTGTGTTCAACCTCGGAGGACAGACAAAAGAAGATGAAGGTAAGAGAGAAAGACGAGCCCCATATAAGAAAAAAAGTCCAGAATCATTCGGCGTAAAGGAAGCCTTGATAAGCCTTTCAACGGAATTGGAGAATAACATAAAAGAAACATAGAACCCGCCAAACAGGCTAAAGGACCTATTGCAAAAGATTAAAAGGAACGCGGGCGTATTCAGTAGAGCTCCGATAACAAAGTGGCTAGAAGCCCACAACTGGGAAGCAATAGAAAAAATCACATATGATGTAGAAACCCAAGTAAACGTTACCAGCAATGCAGAGGGGAGTAATAAAAATATGATAATAATGGATGTTATATATCTCCCTATAGTGGCGTTGGGAGATCGAGGAAGTTCCTAGATGAGCTGGGCGAAAGTGTGAATACACGGGAGGGGGACTTCTGAATGATCTGAGAGGTAGTATACTTGAGGACTGGATGGCTGAGAGATGTATGGTGTGTCCTAATTGTGGAAATGCCTCCACCTTCCTGCGATGCTCTCAGAAGTTGCATATCGACCTGACCCTCATCACGGAAAGGGTGGCTACAAAAATGAAAGAATGGAGAGTGTTAGAACATGAGAATATGAATGATCATCAGGACATCGTATGGGTCCTAGGTGCGACAGGGGAATGTACGAGAGGAGAAGATAAAAAGAAGGACTGGGGA